GTGTATTAGAATGAGCAAATATGAGGGATATATATAGGGAAGGGAGGATTTGGCCGTTTGGATTCAAAAATATGGCTGTTGGGCAATTAATGTGGTGCCCAACGGCTCTGAATTTTTGAAATGCATCAGCCTTCCCAACGATGGGTGGATCTTCCCATCGATGGGAAGGTCGCCACTGGAAAGCGAAGGGGAAAACAAGGCTGCCTTCCCAGCGATGGTAGGATTCACCCATCGATGGGAAGGTTCATTCTGGAAATCCGTTAAAAACTTTTTAAAAAAAATGTCAAACACCCAGCGATGGGAGAAAGTTCGCATCGATGGGTAGGGAGGTTCTGGAAAATTTTTTTGACAAAAGTCCTTCACCCAGCGATGGGATGAAATACCCATCGATGGGTAAGGTGTTTCTGGAAATCCGTTAAAAGGTTTTTTAAAAAAAGAGTCAATTACCCATCGATGGGAAGATCTTCCCATCGATGGGAAGAGGGGTTCTGAAAAAAAGAAAACTTCCCTCCCAGCGATGGTATGGCCCACCCATCGCTGGTTCCCCCTGATTTCCAGAATTCTTCACTTCGAACCGTCCCTGCAAAAAAGAGTTAGAAAACCCTCCGACGCTCAAGTTAGTAAACATTCCAGCAAAGATAAAAGAATGATAAAATGCACAAATTAGATCATCGTGGAGTCAAGGATTCCGAGTTCACTTCGAATGCGGAAGAACGACTCTTTCTCTAAAGGTTTTGTGAAAATGTCGGCTAATTGGTTGTGTGTTTCAACAAACTGAATTTCGACATCACCTTTGAGAACATGATCTCTAATGAAATGGTGCCTAATGTCAATGTGTTTTGTCCTTGAGTGATGAACGGGGTTCTTCGTCAAGCTTATGGCGCTAGTATTGTCACAACGAAGAGGGACGTGATTGATACTAAGGCCAAAGTCAACGAGTTGTTGCTTCATCCAAAGGATTTGAGCACAACAACTACCGGCGGCTACGTATTCCGCTTCGGTTGTGGATAACGCAACACTGACTTGTTTCTTGCTAAACCATGAGACTAAGGAACTACCAAGTAAGTGGCAAGTCCCACTCGTACTTTTACGGTCCAATTTGCAACCGGCAAAGTCCGAGTCGGAGTAGCCAACGAGATGACAAGAAGAGCCTTTTGGATACCACAGTCCAACGTTAACCGTGCCGGATAGGTATTTCATGATTCGTTTTACCTCCGTTAAGTGCGACTCCTTCGGACACGATTGATACCTTGCGCAAAGGCAAACGCTAAACATGATATCCGGCCTACTAGCGGTAAGATAAAGAAGGGATCCGATCATACCTCGATACTTTTTGACCTCTACTCCCTTACCTTTCTCGTCTTTGTCAAGATTGTCAGACGTGCTCATCGGGGTCGCCATGGCTTTGGCGTTGTCCATTTCAAACCGTTTTAGGAGCTCCTTGCAGTATTTAGCTTGGCAAATGAACGTGCCATCTTTCATTTGCTTAACTTGGAGTCCCAAAAAGAATGTGAGCTCGCCCATCATTGACATTTCAAATTCGCTAGTAATTAGCGTTGAGAATTCCTTGCACAAAGACTCGTTAGTAGCACCGAATATAATGTCGTCTACATAAACTTGAACCAAAAGGATGTTATTGTTTTTACTCTTGATAAAAAGTGTGGTGTCTACCTTTCCCCTTTGGAAACCACTATCCAAAAGAAATTTGCTCAAACGTTCGTACCAAGCACGTGGTGCTTGTTTAAGACCGTAGAGCGCTTTCTTGAGTTTGAAGACGTGATCGGGAAACTCAAAATCCTCAAACCCCGGGGGCTGGTCAACATACACTTCCTCTTGAACAAAACCATTGAGGAAGGCACTCTTAACATCCATTTGATAAAGTTTAAAATCCATAGACGAAGCAAAAGCAAGAAGTAAACGAATAGCTTCTAAACGTGCTACAGGTGCATAAGTTTCTTCAAAATCAAGTGGATGGTTCCTGTGCGTTCTCCAAGCGATGGGAAGCTCGGTTTCCTCTTGTTCCTGGGCTTCCTCTTGTTCTTCTTCGTCCGCTTGGTCCTCATTTTCGACCATCACTTGAGGTGTTTCCTCAGGTTGTGGTTGCGGGTTGGTGTATAATGGCGTGTCTTCTTCATCGTCTTCAATGTGTACTCTCTCTAATGAATCTGCAAGATCATCACAAATAGCCTTTCTCGCCAAGCGAGTATTATCTTCGAAAAATACAATTTGAGGGGACTCCTCAATAGTCAAAGTACGTTTATTAAATGCTCTATAGGCCTTGCTGCGAAGAGAATAACCAAGAAAAATCCCTTCGTCCGACTTGGCATCAAATTTTCCCAAGTTATCTTT